ATAAGTTATGTATATATAATGTAATACCTAAACCAATCACTAAAGCAGCTATACAATGAGATATACTCAAAGTCACAATAGATGAATTATAATGAAATTCTGAGTATATTCAAGTATCAAAGGGAAGGCAGGAAAAAAAGAAAATTAAATGGAGAACAAAGAGAAAACAAAAAAATGACATGATACTTAAGCCATACAACATCAGTGAAATGGTCTAAAGCAATTAAAAAGTGGAAATTATTGAATGAAAAATGGTCTAAAGCAATTAAAAGTGGAGATTATTAGAATGAATTAAGAACTATCACCCAGTGATATGCTATCTACAATTTAAAAAATAAATAAAAATAGAACAATAAGTTAGAAAATCAAATGGAAAGCAAATAGAAAGCAATATGCAAAGTACACACTCATCAAAAGAAAATCGGAGTGCGTATAATTTTATATGAAGCAAATTTTGGAGAAAATCTTACCATAGATACAAGGATCTCGCATAAAGTAAACTGTATCAATCTTTGATATATTGTGGAATAAAGACAAGCATCAAGGGGCCGGGGATTTAGCTCAGTCGTTTCTCAGCCTGCTATGCAAGCGTAAGGACCTGAGTTCAATCCCCGGTACCAAAAAAAAAAAAGCAAAAACAAAAAAAAAACAAGCATCAGTCTACCAAGAAGTCATAAAAATCCTCAGTGAGTAGACACCACATTTCAGTGTGGCCAAATACATGAAGTGAACACTAGTTGGAGGCTTCAACACTCTCAACTGCCAGAAAGTCACCAAAGATATAAGAAAATTCAACAATATCCTCAAGGACAGGACCTAATAAAAATATATAACCAAAATATATAGCCAACAACAGCACTCTACCCAACAACAGCAGAATACGTATTTGTTATAAGTGGCCATGGAAAATAAACTAAGGTAGACTATGTTCTAAGCTTGTTATCATTAAATTTGTTATGGTTTAGGCCATCCAAAGCTCATGTGTTGAAGACTTGCAACCCAATGTAGCTGTGTTCAGAGGCAGGGCCTTTGAGAGGTGAGTGAATCATGAAGTCTCAAAACTCACCAAAAGAGTAACTGATTGATGGATTCATAACTTAAGGGGCTATTGAGAGGTGGGGGAAACTTTTAGGAGGTGGAGTCTAGATAGAGGAAGTTAGGTTATTGGGGGGCATACCCTTCAAGAGTATATTTTGCTCTCTCTGTCTCCTTCCTGGCCACATGAGGTGAGCAGCTTGGCTCAACAATGTGCACTTTGCCACAATGTTCTGCTTTGTCACAGGCCCAGAACAATGGAGCCAGCCAAGTGACCATGAACTCAAACTTCTGAAACTATGAGCCAAAATAAATTTTTCCTCCTCTCCACTTAAGTTCTCAGATATTTTGTTGCAGCAATGGAAAGCTAACTAACATAGAACCATAAAGCAAGCCAACAAATTCTAAAAACTGAAATTATACAGACACTTCTAAATAATCCATTTATCTCAAGGGAAATTAAAAATATGTTAGACTGGGTAAAGATGAAATGGTACATATTAAACATGTACAATGTATATAGCTAAAACTGTGTTGACAGGGAAATATAAGGCAATACATGTATCAGAGGGTGATCAGTCCTCTGACTGCCTAGAAATGGGGACAGCAAGGGTTAAATAAAAAAAGACAATAGAGACTTGCATAATTTCAAAGTGTATGGAGGGCCAGGAGGTCAATGCCTCAGGGTTGGTAAAGACAATCTCTTCGAGCTAGCCATTATTTATTGGGTTCATACAATAATTGGAGGGAGTATCAGGTGACTTAGGGGGTAGTAATCCTATGGCGATGTAGATCTTATGCTGATGAGGATCTTATGTTGATGAAGGCGGTAAGGAGAGCATTCTTACAATAGTAGGTGGGATGAGATAGCAGGCTAATAAAGAAGTTGTCCTTCCCCTAGGCGAAACCTTTCTCTTTTTTTATTACTACTTGGTTCTTGAAGAACCAAGATGTCTTCAGCTGATGTAATCTTGTCCTTGAGCATCATAGTGTCACAGGACCACTGAGGCCTCAACTTGTGACTGGAGGCAAGGAGCTGTGTTTCCATATGCCATAGCCAGTTCATGGTCAAGGTAATATTAGGCCTTAGATAGCTATAATCATACTTTAATTATGAAATGATTTTTCCCAGAAATTTATTTAGAATGGCTCCTAACATAAATGCATACATTAAAAAAGAAGAAAAGTTTCTAATCAGTGATCTAAGCTCCCAATTTCAAAAATTAGAAAAATAAATACAAATCAAAAAAGGGAAATAAAGATAAGAATGTTAATGAATAAAATGAAAACAGAAAAATTGAGAAAACAATGAGAAAACAATGGCTCTATAGAGAGAGATAAAATTGGCAAACATCCTACAAGTCTGACAAAGAAGAAAAGGAGACACAAATTACCAATATAAAAAAATTTAAAAATGGATATCATTACTGACCTTGCAGACCTCAAAAGGATAATAAAAAACTACAAACAACTCTACACCCATGAATTTGACAACTTAGATGAAATGGGTCACATTTTCACAAAAAAATCCAGAAACACCCTATTAGGAAACAATCTGAATAGTTCTATAACTGTTAAGGAAATTGAATTTGTAATCCCAGAACTCCCAAACACCACATCAAAAGATGACAGAAGAAAAATCACATGATCATATTAATTGTTGCATAAAATATTGACAAAATTGACCATTCATTCATAATTTTAAAATCTCACAAAAATAAGAAATAAGGAAACTTCCTCAACTTGATAAAAACCATTATGAAAAATCACAGCTTTATTCTTAATAGCGAAATACGGGAAACAACATAGATGGTCTTTAATGATAAATGGTTAAACTTGTGCATTGGAATACTATTCAGCATCGGAACATATTGAACTATCGATACACAATTTATGTCATTGTCCAGAGATTTATTTGGAGTAAAAATAAAGGCTCATAACCCCAAAGGATTTTATGCTATATAATTCTTGAAATAAAATCATAGAAATTGAGAAGAGATAGTTGTTTCCAGGAGCAAAGAGCCCAAGATGGCACTAAGGAGATCTTTGTGGTGATAGAAATGCTCATTTCTTGTTGGTATCAATATCAATTACCTAGTAGTGATATAGTCGCATAGTTTCTCAAGATGTTACCACTGGGGAAACTGGAAAAATGGTACATGGGTCCTCTAGGTATTATTTCTTAATACTGCTTTTGGATTTACAACAACCTCAATAATAAGTTAATGAAAAATGAAATAAATGGTGCTTCTCATGACCAGTGATTACTAATATACAATAATGATACACACATGGCATGCACACGTATGTGCCCATACACACCAACTATGCACATGCACTACTCCATTATAATTTTCTGTGAAGATATGTTCAAGCACCCATCTGGTTTACTGTTGCTGTTTTCTCTGTAAGATATTATTCAATCACTTTTTCTGAGGGTGTTAAAATGCCTCCACATCAGTAGATGGGAATCTTTTTGTAAATTCTTCACAAAAAAAGTTTGTCAGTCCTTTATATTTCTAAAAACGGTGTCTCAAAGTTTATTACTTCATGGATTACAAAAGCTGAGCAATCGTACCTTGCAGTTTCCAGTAATGTAGCTGCAAATTCTCCTGTGTATATAGTCCTTAGCTCAGAACTCTGCTCAAAGTAGTTGTCAAAGCATGTGATTATTTAACAAGTGAGTGAATTTGACCAAAAATGGTGGTCAATATCCCTGATACCAGAAGAAATTTCAAATTTTCAGTGTGGCAGAGAATATCCTGATTCCCACTGTCAACTCCCTAGTGTTAACTCAGTTACTTACATAATCATGTATTGGGAATAAGTGCTATGTCATGGACTAAGTTCTTAACTCTAGGAAGTATCTTTATACTACCTTGCTTACTACCTCCGTGTCAGCATTCTGTCATCTTAGTATTTCTTAACATTGTACTCACTTTCAAACATTATCCTTTAATAATGAATTTGTCATGTATCTATATTTAATTGTTACATTTATTATAGATGTGTTAATATTATTAAAGTTAGTTTTTAAAATATTCAAAATTAACCTAGAATAAATTAAAATAGGAAGCTAAATTATTAGATAATCTATCCATATTATTTAAAATAATGATAATTTTGTTAAATTAATGCACAAAATGACTGATATTTACCTTTTTTTAAGAAGTAAGAAACAGTCATGTCTTGTTTGTCTATAAGAAACAATACTACAGTACACTATAATTTCCTAAATAGAAGTCACATCCCTTTTGAATTTTATAACCCAGTAAATTAGTTCAGATGTAAATAACGCAGATTTCAAAGATGTGCTCAGTGTGACTAATTCTATGGGAAATATTTCTTCTTTAGTGAAAATTATAGTTAAGGTAGTAAAAAATTCTCATATAATCTAATATTGCTTCTTCATAGATGTGTATTACCAAATGTATGCTATATACACATCCTCTTTTTTCTTTATAAATTTTTTAATTTATTAATTTTCTATCCTATTTATAGTCTTGTTACTACTTATGAGAACATATACCATTATTTTAGGTATTTCTAGAGAGATTGAAAGGAAATAATATAAATTCATTACTTCAGTACTCCATAACATGTATCAGGCCTGAGATTATAATTTACAATTTAAAAGTTTTCAAACTTTTAACACTCTGAACTTAGCTATGTTAAAATGTTTTCCTTAAATATAGTGTCAGATTTTTCTTCCTTACAAGATGATATTTTAAGTGACATTTTCTAGGAATGTTTTCAAAAATACCTTGAAACAAAGTAGAACCTTATTAGTGGTTTTAAAATAATTTTCTTTCCCAAACATTTATATTAATATGAGACTTCTATTGTCCCTGATTAATTTGATCTTTATCTTCCAGCATATTTTATACAAACTAAAAAAAAAGTTGTCTTTGTTGGGGATTTTTTTAGTACGTTTTAAACACTGATGATTTTTGTTTTCTTTCAAGGTGCGAGGGCCTCCATCTGCAGGAGCTTTTAAAGAAAGACCAACCAAGCCTACAGCATTTCGAAAATTTTATGAGCGAGGAGACTTCCCAATTGCCCTTGAGCATGATTCCAAAGGAAACAAAATAGCCTGGAAGGTAAGTCAGGGCACAACTGTGAGAGCCAGCTGCGCTTGCTGAAGAGACATCTCCCAATGCCAAAGAAACTTGGCTGCTAAGTAAATAAGCCAGAGTAATTTCTCAGCAAATGGAAGATGGTGGGTAAGCTCTTAGAAAGCCCCCCTGTGTCAGCCGTCCACCTTGACTAACAATTAAATTATAGCCTGTAAGGAAGATAATGACAGAGTTGCTTTGCCTTAGAGAATTGTCTGCTGCCCAATTCATCTCTATTTTTATGAGAACCTGGCAGTGCAGCCCGTTTCAGGCAGTCCATCAAGTGATGGAACTGGCAGCTGGATGCGGAGAGCAACAGCCATTTATCTCCCCAAAATTTCACCTTCCTGCAGGACACTTCCAAATGGAAGCTTTAATTACCTAAATGGATAGGTCAAGATTGTCTGCTCTCTGGAAATGTAGAGCAGAATACAAAAGAGGGCCGCTCCTGAGTGCTGGGCGTGCTCTGGTGCACTGAGGCAGCCTGTAGGAGGGCTTGTCACACTGCCCTGTTAGAGACTGACCTCTGCTGAAGCCATTACAGCTCCAACATTTTTCTGACAAAAGGTTAATTGGCTTCAAAATAAATGTATTGCCTAATGACTCCATTCTAATGTGACTGTGTTTCTTTCTAAAAGGCTCACTGATGTTATTTGTAAAAACTTGCCAATCACTTAACAGGGAAAGCTTTTACATTTAATTTGAAAAATGAATGCTGATCTCTAACCACTTCTGCTATTTAATTATTTTTGTTATCAATGACCTTGCTTCTGGTAATATTTATCAGCTACAGTGGTTTCTCCATGTAAAGACAGCAAAACCCCCGCAAACATTTGAGTATTGCCTTAGGTTAAGGAAAGCAAAAGATTTTGGCCAAATAGCAGTTAAGTTAAGCAACTAACATATTAACTGAAGAATCCAGCCTAAAAGAAATATGCTTGTAATTATTAACAAATAAATTTATGTTAAAAATAAAATTTTCAAATTAAAGAATTTATCAAAGTAAATAGCTTAGAAAGATGCATTAAAATTAACTTCTCCCCTCCTCTGTAGAAAGGCTGAAAGAATTGTTGTATACCTTTTTCAAATACTTTCAAATTATCAGCAAACATTTCTCAATCTTGAGCAGTCATCTATATTCAGTTATCAAACTTAAAATTATCCCAAGTTACAAAAGAAACATGGTGGTATTATTCTTAAGCCTTGTCATCAATTTTTCAGAGTCAAGGTTAGGGAAGATGAATATCTTCTTTGTATTCATCTTTATTAGAAAGTAAATTTATTATGTGAAAATATATGTGTGGGGAAAAATGTATAGCAATTATAACTAATTTAGATATTTCAGTCTTAACATATTCCAAAAGTTTTATTGTGATTTTGGGGTTCATTTATATTAAATGAATTATATTGGTATTATGTTTGCTTGTCCACCTACTGGTTCATATATAACACAGAGAAATTTCCTGATAACCTGATTTCTGTCAAGTAAGGTTTGTCATAATTTTTTATAAAAAGTAGGTAGTTTTGATATTTGAAGTAATTATAACATATGTAAATTATATTAATGAAAAGTATTAATATAGATTTACTTTGAACTATTCAAATAACTTTGTAAGTAACTTTTAGAATTATGAAGAGATTAGAAAAAAATCATCTTGAAAAGAAAATTGCTAATTAAAATATGGAAGAATCACTTTGCTTTTTATCTTTCATAACCTAACAGTCAGTCAGTAGGGCTAAAACTAATTTTCTTTTTTATGGTTATACTAATTATTTTAAACTACAATTGATTATAGTACCATTTCAGTAAGCTAAAAAAGTAAAAATAAAGAGGAAACAATTTATGTGCCTTTACTGGTAGTATAATGTCACATATTTAGAGAAACACTTTATTCCAGTTTTAGTGTGCTGCCAGAGTAAGCACAAGAAAAGTCTAGAACCTGTCAACTTTTAGCTCTTAGGGCTTTGGTACCATATTTTAATTATATAGCTACAACATTGAAAATGAGACATTAATGTTAATAAACATAGACTTGTGCTCATTCAATATATTCACATTTATTCCTTGACCTATTTACTGTGAGCACAATCTGGGGCTAAATAGGAGTAGGGGGCTTATTTAGGACGCCATTCCTAAGGAAAAGGCCTAGAATGTTGAAGGAAGCAGGGCTCTTCCCAACCCTCAAAGCTAAAACACCACCAGAGAGCCAGCAGGATTCTTCTCTGGGCAGACAGAGGATAAGTCCCTCATGAAGCTAACCTCTAGTCTCCATCTTTCCTTGAAGACTCCTGATTTGCTGAGCTTCCTAGAAAACACTGGCCATCTTTAAACACTCTTGGGTCAGCTTAGGAACTCCTAGGGGGATTGTGACTGCCTGAAAATAGTGTGCATAAATGAGAAGGCCATTCCTGTTATCAAAATTTTGATGTGACTCTGAAATATTTAGGACTCTTTCCCCTAAATGATGGTATAAAGGCTGTGTGTCCCTTCATCTCAGGATTATTCCAGGATATAAACTTGCAGGGATAGGGATTCCCCTTCTACTTCTCCAGGATTTTCTGATCTAATCATCTTCATGTTAGAAACCACCATGCATTTTTGAAATAACAAAAGCATTCTATGGTATAATCCCATAAGCAGCCTTAAAAATCAGAAAATAGAATAGTTAAAGATAGGTAAATGTCAGCATGTTTAGATTTCTCAATCCTCATCCTGAACTGATGCACATGGAAATGGTCATTTGTTTCATGCCAGAACAATATGAGAGGCCAAATGACATGACTTAGCCAGTTCAGCCTATTTTTTATGGTGCCTCTAAAGATCAGGGTGATGTCAGCACAACTTTCTGCAATAGTAGGAATGTTTTACATTTGTAATGTCTGATACAGTAAAATGGCCATATGTGGCCATTACACTCTTGAAATGTGCCTACTGAGACTACAGAATTGCATTTTAAATTTTATTTAATTTTAATTTAAATAGCCACATGGTTACCATATTGTATTGAGTAACTGTATTAAGATAATGGCATTCAAAAATAAATGCCTGAATCTGTTACCGGAAAGAAGGCCTATTAAGAATTATTATTAAAAGAAAAACATAGGACTTACATGTACATTTTTTACCATGTCTCTCTGTGCTTATCATAAATTCCTTGATGAATGTGAAAAAACTTTCACAAAATATTTCTAGCAAAAACTTCTAAGCACTTATCAGTAATGAGTTATTTTTATCAATGAAAGATAAATAGATCTGATATAGGATAAGAAATCTACCAGGCAAGCAAGCTCAAAAATCCTGAAATACTTTAAAAAAAATCTGCTGCTTTTTCTGCATTGTTTTACTCTTTTTGGTGAGGAAATATGACTGATATCTTCAATATACACATTATACACAGAAGTTAAAAAAAGAGCTAGGCAGTCTGGATAAATTATAAAGCAGATAATCAGCGTGAACAATGAAAATGGAAATTTAAAATTTGTATTTGAGTTTGCTCATCTGAAATTTCTGTTCTTCAATTTCCTGTATGAATCACAAGGATGGTGACTGGGGTGGGAGTGGGTGGAGCTGTACCTAAGGTTTTTCCTTATGGACATTCTTGAAAGGGAAAGACTATTACATCATCTTGCAAAATATGCAGCCATTATTTCCACCTCTGCTTTTAAACAAGGAGCAAAGGGAGTCATACATGTAGAAAGTGGTCCTGTGGTAGAGAAGAGTTTTAAGCCAAGTATTAAAGCATAAGTCATGAGGGGGAATATGAAATTTTAGGGAAAGCTTGCACAGCTTTTCAGTATACTGTCCTCTCACTTCTGCCTCAGGACATCCTGCACCACCCAACTCAGGGTAAGACATCCTCAGGGCTCTGGAGCTGCTGCCTCACTCTCCTGTCCTCTCCTCTCCTCTCCTCCACCTTCCTCCTCCATACCCACCTTCTCCTTTTCTTCTTGCTCATCCTTTCCCTGTTCCCCTTACACTTCTTGCTCTTTCTCCCTTTCTCCTTCCACCTCTGTCTTTTCTTTTTCTCCTTTTTCTTTCTTCCTTTTTAAAAAAAATTTTGTTTGTTTGTTTCCCACTTTCTGAAATCCATTGTTCTTTGCTATGGTTTTTCCAGGACAGATTTTGGGGGAAAGAGCCAAGAGCCCATTCTAGGTCTCTGTTTGGCAGGAATCTGTGCTCATTTGAAATATTCATCTGAGTGAACTTGAAATAAAAATTTTTACTGGCATACTTAGTTAGGAACACAACTATGAATCATAGGTAGCACTATGAGATTCATCATTTTATTGTGAAGTTGATTTCAAACCATTGTTTTAAATAACATAGGAAAACAAATTATTATAAAATAATCCCTTCAGTCTTTCCAACATGGCCAAGTAGAAAAAGAGGTGCACTGAAGGAGCTTGGAGGCAAGACAGAAGATCATGCAGGCATTCTGAAATGAGGGAGATAATCACACCCAGATACAGAAAATTAAGCTGAAAGAAGTATCCTTTTGATCAAACCAAATATCTTTGTTGTTGAAAAAGGGAAGCTGGACAATTACTGGTCCACACCTCCCCTAACGCGCCCGTTACCCTGAGAACAGGCCACCTCCAGAGCATTTCTGATACAGCACTCTAGAGGCCAGACTCCTGGGATAGGCTCCTAAAGTACACTCTCACCCACCTGGAATAGGAACCTCACTGTGGGAAGAAACTTTAGTAAAGGCAAATCCAGCAACACAAAAATAGGCAATCCCTTCCCACATTATTTTCCCAAACACCAGACAACACTATGCCCCTGTGACATCTTACCTACTGTCTATAGTTGACAAGGGAAGTCTCTTACCCTAGGCAGAGAGGCTGAACACCACGAACTATGGGCAGCACCAAGTTTGGTGGCAGTGACCCACAGATTGCATCCCTAGAGACACGGGGAGGGAGTACACTCAAGCTGAACCAGAGTGTGCACTTTCCTTTTGTTTCCCCAAATACCGAAAAAT